TCTGTACGCAGACTGTCGTTTAAGTTCTGCATCAAAGCGGGCCCTGACAGCCGATGTTGAGGACTCCCATTCCCGAAACTCTGCTTCTTTGTTACACTGTTCATCAGTCCCGCTTGCCCCTCGAAGCTGTTGCTTCTGCTGCTCTTTTCTTGGTCGCTTTTGAGGCGCAGACACTTCTGCAGGTCTGTCTGCGTCACGTCTTCTCTCTCTGTCGACTCTATGACTGCACTTCCTTTTTCCGCCCTCTAATGACACGCTACTAGTTTGGTGCTCCCGCTTAGGGAGTAATTCTCTTGAATGTTGCTGCGCTTGCTCCGCAGTTTTGGCAGTGGTTGCTGTCAATGAAGAAGTAGACGCAGGTGAAACTGCTGTATTGCCAGTAGAGCACGTGGCCGGCGCTGGCCTTTTAAGTCCAGAGACGCGAGGCGCATGAAGATTCTTGTAGATAGCTGGTTTCATACTCTGGAACGGCACCGCTTTCGTACGGGTTCCCGACTCACTTGTTGATTTTTTCGTTGCATTTGCAGCAGCTGGGTCTGAATCAGCAGCAGCTTTGTCGTGATGCGCGCCTGCTGACGCAGTTGCTTCTTGCTCTTTGGGTGTACATGTTCTAGCTGCAGTTGAATCGGCACTAACTGCGTCGTGCTGCACGCCCTTTTTGAGGCCCGCAGCAACTGCCTTCAAGGCAGACAGGAAGGCTTCTAGGCGTTCACCCTGCTGAGGCTTCGTGAGGGAAAGAGTGCACGCAAATTGTGAAGGATGCATCTCTATGAGCGCGGACCCGCCAACCTGTGGGTAGAAATTTCAAAAGCGCAGCGTATTTTCCAAAAGGAGCTCCACAAACTCGTCTAAAATCGGGAGACGAACACCTAGTAGGGTTGCGTAGGCATTATTCGATTTGAAAAAACGAAGATAACCCGGAGAGCCACCCTAAATTTGTTCTTGCTGTCACGTACCTCTTGCAGTTTTACAGCGACAACCGCCTCGTTTAAATTTGGGTCCAACTTGAGAAGTCGCGCCACGCCTGCGTAATCCAGATGACCAAAGCCTGTAAAAAGCAGCAACATCGAGGAACCTGTGGATCTGATTGTAAGGCAGTATTTACGGATAGACGAAAATCACATAGGCAGGGTGTGACGCAACCTATAACTTCGTTTCTGTCCTGCCCAATGCACGTGCAAAATGAAGCAGGGGAGCGGTTCCTGGCTCGGTATGGAATATGCTAAAGCGAGGACCACACCTTTTAATACATATGTGTACACTAATTTGGACCGCCGGCGCTTCTTACCCTGCAAGTCTGCCTCCGATACTTTGCCATCGTCCAACGCCCGCCGCAGAAGAGCTTCTGCAGCGGACCTCATGGCAACTGGTTTGGTTAACCTGGCGTAAAGACTACCTAATACGTGCTAAGAACAAAACATCATGACCCCCTTAGGGCAATACCCAGAAAAAGAGGCGCTGTCCACACTGACTACTGAAGATCGAGGCAGGCCTCCACTCCACACAATCAGCCCACCAAAGCGGGCTAGACTTCAATTTTCCGAAAGCTACTCTGAATCTATCAGTTCCTATATATCGATATTTTGTATGACTGGGCAGCGTGTCGCAGAACGTACATTTTCGCCAGCCGCCCTCCCTGAACAACTAGCGGCAACCCCACCAACCAGCCCCACCAACTTGCTGGGTCATGAAGAGCCAGCAAGTTGAAAGGTTTTCACTGGAACAAGAACAAATCCAACATCCATTCCTGTCTTTTGCTTGGGATTTTGCAGCTGTTTTTTGTGTTCTTTGTAGTGTGTGCCGGGTCTCAGTGTTGCTGTGACACTGAGCATTGTCGTCATCGCCCGGCGCGCGCATATGATAACCCTGCCTTCGTGCAGAATCACCCCCAAAGAGTCTCGGGGAAATATGTCACTTTTTGGAAAGTTACATCCACAATAATACTGGCGCGGCACAGAGCGTATGAGTTGCAGCAGAGTGCAATCGCTTACTTCGGCCATTTTCCGCCCTTCTTTACTCAGAGAGCATCGTTTGTCCTACAGTGATGTGATTTAAACGCCTTCATACGCCATATCAGTGACCATAGCTGTCTGCCTTGGGGCCCTGTGTCTCATGGTGCCCCTTCGGCAGCTCGTGCAAGTGGCGTTACTCCAATGAGGCAGCAGTGTATATACTTCTGCGCGCAAAAGCCTGCTTGACCTGCGGCGCTCCTTTGGTCTCAGTTGTCAGTGCCACTAAAATCCAGTAAAACCCGAGAAGGCTCTGAATGTAGGCAGTGGGACAAACGCCCCTACCTCTGCAGCCTAAACTGCGTGTCTGATCACAAAATGAGAAAACACCCTGTCTTTTCGTTTGTACGGACGAACAACTCAACATGTTCAGTGTCATAACTACTCAACGAGCCCTCCAAAGGGCCTACAAGTGTAGTAATAGCAGTGCTTTATAGCATTTTCCAGGCGTCTTTTCCTCCTGCATGTAACCAACATGCTTTATAATGCATCTCATAATAATGAACCACACGGCGCCCCAAGCACCTTCCTGGACGAATCATGTGCTCGTCTTGTAAGCTTCTGTTGAGTGCACCAAAGTAACGAGCTGCCCAAATCTGCATTGTGCTGTCGATTTGAGAAGCGTGGGCCTGGGCTACGGCGCTACGGACGTGAGGTGCCCCAGGATTCCAGCGAGGAGCCTAGAGGGACGACGCTCAGTCGGCAGTCGACAGACACCGCCTCCTTCGTCTTCCTGGTACGCTGTCACCCGCCATCATTTTTCTTGTATTTTTAGCATATTGTGTTTCATCGGGATACTGTAAGAAGCCGTTCTTAAGCTTGACTGAACTGAACTAGTTCCACTTTCCACAGACAGCCCATATCGTGTAACAAGAAATTTCATTACGCGGAAAAATTGGTTGGGTTCTTTAATTTGTAAATATCTGCGGTAAATTTGCTCATGAGTTATCAATCTTCCGTGTCCGAGGCTCTGCCGGGTTAACGGGCCACCGGTAATGTCCTTCGAGAAGAGACATCAACTACTCCTGGGATAAAAAACAGAGACTAGCATCTTACATGGCTAAAAAGACCGGAAACCAGTATGGGTGTTATTAGAAGTTCTTTGCAGCGGGAACACCAATGCGCTTTGCACTGCGCATTCAACAGGCAGTTGCAAGCAGGGTCCCTTGAGTGCTCATTATTGTCATGCACGCGCAACAGTTACACGACCCTTTCTGTTTCTCGACTCGTTATGCTGACGGGATACTTGTCACAATGGCACTAACGACAGGTTTGGACAATCACTGCAGGTTTCAATGCAAGGCTTGTGTCCCGCTTTCGTCCTTCGTCATACCCCTGGGTGAACGCGTAGAGCTTCAGAGCATAAATTGGTCTAGCGGCACGTGATTTGTACACTATAAGTATGGTTTTGGAGTCAACTTGACGATTTATGGAGGTTATCTAGGCCACGTTTGTTGCATAGAGTGTTTCACCAGGCAGCAGCAGGAGTATCTCTGATTAGGCAGCGTGAGGAGGCGGTTCGAAGGCTTCTTCGTGGCTCAGATTGCAAGTTTCAACCGAAAAGAAACTCGTTGACAGCAAAGACAGCTCTTCAGGCAGCGTTTGGTCTGCTGCTTGTACCGAAGCCTACACGCACGGGTTGCAACTGCCAAGCATAAACTTTGTATGATTAGAGTGCTCCGTAATTTCGCATGAATGCTCATTGGTGTTTTCGCTTGCGTGTACGTGACTTCGCATCGTTTTAAGAGCAGGCCAAATAGCAGCATCGCCATACTGAAACTTGCCCATGTGGATAGCTGAAAAAAATATAGAGGTTCACAATTGCTTTCCGATGTGTCAGTTTCTGCGTGCAAGGTAGTTTTGGAGAAAACGTGCAGCTCAGGCAATACCGCAGCGGAGTTCCAGACCTGAGAGTCCCAAACAATACATTTACACTGCGTTGCTGAGCTGGCTGGCCATGTTTTTCTTGTGCTTTGCTAGGGTTCTTTCAGTTTGAAGGTGGCAGGACCCAAAAACGCCTCGCTGTGCTCACCAGAAGCGGGTATTCTTGGGTGAATGGCAAGCAGGAGAAACTCTAAAAAGGCCTAAGGATAACAACATGTGGGTGTTCCTGCATCATGCTGCTCTTGTGCCAGTAGCTGAAGCGGTACTGTAGCTCTCACCTGCAACAGGTCCTTTGGGCCTTACGGCCAACGAGTTATGCCACAGAAGATGGAGCAGATCGACCCCGGCATGCCAGTAAAAACTATTGAATATTAACAAAGCAAGTCAGACAGCACAAGTACCATAATGCCAATATTGATTCTGTGGGACAAGAACCTAACTTCGAAGTGTTCCACGTGCCGTATCAGATGTGTCTACCGAAGGATTTCTTCTTAGACTCTATCATCCAACATTGGATCCCTAGGCCACTGGACGTGCCCAGGGACGCTGGCGTGAAGGTATCTGTGCAATTTTCGCTCCTCCCCACTGCAGCGTGACGTAGCAGTAGGCATTTGCTGTGCTTCCTGAAGCGCATACCACGAAACTCTTCGGCTTCAGGGGCGCCTCAGTTCAATTTTACTGTGAATGACACCTAAGCTGTGCGAATCTTATGCCAGTTGGTTCCGCGCCTCAGTCCACAGCGGCATAGCGTGTGTGCAAATAGTAACGTGTCTGCAGCAAGGGAGCATGGGACAAACGAAGCAAACGCAACCAACCAGCCGCAGCGACTCGCCAAAACCGTAGAGTCAGCCAGTAAATGAATATAAAATACGGTAGGGGCGTCTGGAGCTTCATGGCTATGGTCAGATTTAGGCTTCCAGCGATTATGGCCTCGGCGCGCTAGAGTCGTGAGACTGTGACAGGCCTCGGTTGAATACGGAAACCCAAAAACCTCCATGACACAAACTCCAGGGCTAACCCTAGATCCTGAGCGATTACTTTAATCTAGGGGCAGGGAGCGGGAAGCTATACACTGAACCATATGCACAAAACGCCGGACGACAGGCGATGCCCTGCGACGCCGTTGAAGTGAGCGGGTGGAGTGCGTCTCGCAGGGTGTCCCTGGTAAACACAGCCAGTCAAAAAATTCTGCATGTTTCGATTTTCCGGCTTAGATACTTCATAAGTAGCGCAGACGCTTCAGCCTGAATCCTCTAGTGACGAACACCAGCGAAGTTTCCGTCCTGCTGGAGCAGCAGCGCCGTCTCCCTGCGGGGTCTCCTTTGCGAGTGACCTGCTAACGCGGAAAAGTACGCTATCACTTTTTGGCATTTAAGCCTTTAGGGAAAGACACCGAGTTTGCGAAGAAGTCAGCCTTTACCTCACGGTGGGTGCACGCGGAAGCGAGACCAGACAGCACAAGGGCGGGGATATGTGGTTTCGTCCAAGGGTTTGGTTGTGTCTTCAGATGAAATTCTCGAACGGGCTTGGTATCAAGAGCTTCCTAACGATAATAGCCGCCAGCAGCCTTACCTTGCTGGTTATCCAGTATTGCAGAACTAGAGTGAGTGCTCGGAAGGCCTCGAGCTGTGTTGAGTAGTGTGGGAAAGCCCTCGACTAGAACTACCTGCAAGGAGCGCTGCAGTTAAGAATTTTTGTGTCCAGGACCCATGGGATTACTATGCGCTGACATACACGGACTTCTTTTCCTTTGTCGTTGGGCTTATTGGACGTCCCGTCATTAGTCGCTTCTTTACGCCAGATGAGGCTTTCTGGAATACACCTGCAGAGGTAGACCGTCATTGCTCAAATGTGCAAAGCGGACGTTTTCGGTTGTTGGATTCGCATACTCGTAGTTCTATCTGCACTAGAGGGAAACACACGCAATCCAGTTGACGCATATGCTTAACGATCGATAGCCGAGTGCCCAGCGTAGAGGATGTTGGGTTGATGCTCCAGGTTCCTGGAATACAGTCCACGATTAAAATAGGACACGACAAATATGGGCTCCCCTACTTGACTGCATCCAGCCGTGAGCTCCCTATACTCACTATTGCCTTCGCGTACGCCGCTGGCTACGATTTTCGGCGGATAGGTGGTTTTTGCTCTTCCAATTTATGGCTGAGGCATTTAGTGCTTGTTGTGCTTCTCAGGGGAGGATCTCTGCTTCGGTCAGGGATATTTGCATGCAATGGGTAGGTTTTGGTTCTTCGCTGCTCATTTTGCAATAGTCCCACTGGCCAGGGTTTGAAAAGTGCTTGCAGAGTAAGAACTCTAGATAAGAAGATTAGAGGGTATACTGTGTACACAGAGAGGCCCGCGCAAATCGAACTATTGAGATTAGTGGCGACGGGAAAGTCTGCAGCCGTCCTTGGAGCTTCAATGACCGACACTGACATGATTACCAGGTAAGAGTTCAGGGTTTAGATGGCTGTTGGGCACTGCGCGAACATTTAGCTGTAGTACGTGTCGCTGTTCATAGAAACATCGGCCTTCAAGGCTTTCCACGGCAAAGACTTCAGGATTCACGTCTAGGATGTTAACGAGATCTGAGGCCTGATGCTCAAATCCTGTCAATTTCGGGCTCTCAGGACCGTAATATCCGAGGAGGCACTTTTGTGGAAGCTACGAAAACTGCCGCGTCACGGCGTGGCTTGCTTAATTGCTTACTCTCGAGGCAAGCCAAGGCTAAGTCACAAGCTGCAAGATCCTAGGCTGCTCCTTTCCGGGGAGCATTATTTTGACTTCCTCACTGCACCGTGCAGAGCCCTTATGAGGTCCGTAGCTGGCGATGAGCAGTTAACGGTGGTATCTGAATGTTTTTCAACATGCTTCTCAGGGGTAACTGAGGCCTTCAGGTCGTTGCCTGCGCGACCCGTCGAGTTCGTTCTTTTGGGACACACGCCCTCCTTGCCGTTTACTGTCTTTGATGTAGCCGCTATCTCCACAATTTATTCCATGATGCTTAACAGGGGACTGACGAGGGACTTTGTGCGAGTCCACCTCAAAGAGTCACTGGGCGACAAATGGAAGGTAAACAGCTGAGAACAGGGAATGCAGATTCTGCAGTCTGGAACATAGAAGACGTTTGCTTCTGGAGACCGCGCAGTACGAGCCTGGTGACCGTGGTTGATCCTTTTCTGCTGCAGTTGTTCGATTTCGGCTTTCCTGAGGGGGTTCCCCCTCTCAATCCTGAAGGCAGCGGCCCCAGTCTCTACGACCTCGAGGGTAACTCAAAGGAAACCCAGGCTGTTGTTTTATTTGTCAACTGGCAAGGCCAGTCGTGACAAAGCGCAAACGCTGACTTAGATCGTCTCTGCACCGTTCTCTTGAGTGTTAAGGCGTATCTTTTGTCCGTCAGGCAAGCCAGTTGCATTCCCTTCAGTAGAATTAAAGGACACCGAATGGTCAACCAGAGGCCCCTCGGCGTTCCCAGAAATAACAGAAGGGCCCCACTCCCTCAATCCGGAATTTGGAGGTCCCATGCACGACAGAGATCCCAGTCCCAAAATGACACCAGAGCGCATGCACCAGTTCAAAGAGGACATGCAGAGAGCGGAGGATTTTTATGACCTGAAGCACCCAAAGCCGTGGACCACAGAGCAACAGCCACAGCACTCCAACACCTTCAGTCTCAAAGTGGTAAGCCGATAAACTGCGTTTCTACATGCGCGCTAAGTCTCTGCATGCAATCTCACTTTGTGAAAGTAGGCATCTGCTGCATGCGAGGGGCAGCGCAGGGATGCTCGTCCGTGCTTGCTTAAACTGGCGTTCCCGTACATTTGCGATTGCTTGCAGGACGGCAGCAACGGTTGGGCCGTATCGGGCAAACTTACAAAGACGGGAATGCCTCTTTTGGCTGGCGATCCCCATGTTGAAGTTAATGCCCCAGGTGGGCTACTAGGGTTCAGATTTGTAGGTTTCATTGGGTGCATCTGCTTTTAATATCGCAACCCCGTCTTACAGCAGGAACTCTTGCATAGACCGCGTGAGCAATGCGCCTAGGGCTCGATGCACACGCTGCACGTGCTGCGTGCTTGTTTGGTCACAAGGATTTTGGATGCCAATGTGGCTGAAGTCGGACGGCAAGCTAGACGGCTTGCCTGTTCGCGGCGTGGGCGCCACCGCGGTGGGGACTACAGGCATGTTCATAGGTGCGTCAGAGTTCTGTAGCTCTTCATGCCCCTGCTATGTAGTGTCTCTGCTGTTCCTCGCTTGTCTTGTCGATTCGCTCTGCCCAGTGGTTGTATCGCCAAAAGACCAGACTTTATTGTTCATGGTGGGCGGCTTGCGGCTTGCGTCGCTCGCAGGTCACAACGACTACGCTGCCTGGACCCAGACAGTGGCACACACTGACATAGAGGATCTCTTCTTAGTAGAGCTAAATGAAGAGGGGACCCACTACTACTATGGCGGCAAACAGTACCCGCTGAAGTTCATCGAACACAACATCTATGTTAAAGTGAGCTTGACTCCAGGGTGTCTTGGTTTGAATCTAGGCTTCGCGGCCTGATACGTCTTAGGTTATGTTTAGGAATTCGTGGGTCTCGACGGAAGGCTGCGTTCGGGTTTCCATTATATGTGGTCAGGGGCGCCCAAACCCTATTCGTCATATATCTCGTTACAGCCATCACGGTCCTCTGTTCTCTGATGCTGTCCCTCCTCTTCGCAAGCGCATTGGAAAAAACCAGGCGCTTGTTCTTGCTTCCGTGGCATGTAGGTGTTGAATAGCAAGGACTTTTCAGCAGTTGTGCCCCGAACACATATTGGAACGCTACGGGTTTTAGTGCAAAATTTCAGTTACAAGCATTGTTCTCGCTAAATTCTAGAGACAACGTGCCCCACTCAACCAGCGACCAGTGTCCACTCCCTGAACATGCGCGCAAGGCGGCTCAACCTGTGATTGTGTTAATTTTTGAGCAGTGCGTGCCCCGCTGCCTGTGGCTTGGGCTGAAAAGATGCTCTTTGGGAAGGAGTGGAAAGACTACATCGAAATGGTCAGCGCAAGTCATGTATGAGTACCACTTTCCAAGCCAGGTGCAGAGTACCTACACAGATTCTGGAAGGTGGTTTTGTGATCTTCACGTTTTTTGGGGAATGCAGGGACAGCATGCCCAGATGAACGAGTTTGTTTGCATCTGGGCAACGAAGGATGGTGCTATAGGCGCGTCTGTGACGGGAGCAGTGCCTGTGAGGCCTTTCTCCACTATTCCTCAATTTAGGGATGGGTCAGACCCAAAACAAGACTGGAAGGTCCGTGATCATTTGTGCCTAGAACCTTACCGCATGAAGCAAGCGTGGCTGCAGAAGGTTTTAATGCGTTTAGGCTGAGGCACGGTCAAATATTATACTTTAGCAGTGCACTAAGGTATCTCGCCGTCGCAGACCACATGTCCGTCAACTAGGACAAGAAAATTGTGGCTGCAAAATCCCTTCCGATAGCTCGAGCAAAGGCTGCGTAGGTATGGGTGACCCTTCGGTTGCAGGGAGTGCTCCCTCAAGAACAAATTCCGTTTGTGATGAACCCCAAAAGCGGAATTATCGTTGCGGGGAATTCAGTGCTCGCGGATGACCCGAAAAGACTTTTCGGAGAAGTGTTTGTTCCAGGGTGGGTATAGTCACGATGCTACCTGGAGTTTCAGCATGCATGATCTCTTTACAAGACTTCGGTGGTTTGAGTTATTTTGATCACATTTTAGGAGCACAGCGTTGCATCTATCTGACAGAACGTGCAGCTGTTCATGGTCAGGGCATGTGTCTAGAGGTCTTCCTGTCCACGCTTGCGTTGAGCGTGCAGACATCGAGTCCGTCGCGCGCATCAGTTGCTGGCTGATCTGAAGAGCAAAAAAGAGATAGAAATTCAGGATCTCATCAAGATGCAGGTAGGGCGAAGTGCCCATATGCAAACCGCATTCTCGATGATGCAACATGGTAAAAGTTAATGCATGGTTCTTTAACTCACGCGGTCCAGTCACAGAGCTGCCGCCCTCATTCACTTTTCAGTCTCGAGGTAAATGGAGTTCAGCTGGTGATGTCTAAGCGTTTCTACAGGAGGATCAGTACAGCGAACACGGATGCGAGTTTAAGGATTTTGTCTTGAAGGAATTCCTCCATCGATTTGATCTTAAAAATGATCAGGAGGAGGCCACTGCCCTTTGCGCGGACGAGGGCCTCACTCCCTATGTGGCTAGATTGTCAGCTGCACGTCAGAGCAGTAGTTAAAGGCTTGCCGCTTTTGGATTGAATTTGTCCGGCCCAGTGATGATCCACTTGCCACAGGATTTTCGGAGGGGTGCGGTTGTTCGTAATTAAATGTGAAGTGTTTGCATGGCTTACAACGTGGGGGGTATGTTGGAAAGTTTGTGAGCTTGCAGGCTAACAGCTGCCATGGAATCTTGGGACTGCTCTATGAATGCCACTTCGCACGGGGCCTCAATTTACGAAGTTTGGCTCCAAATGGTTTTGCAAGGAGTTTTTGCTGCCAACAACTGGAGTGATGAGGCGCTTTTCTCGCTAGTCGGTAAGCCAGGAGTTGCGTATGGAGTTTGGAGCATATGCCACCAGCTGGGCTCACGCTATTCAGGGCGTATATTTTGTGTTATGAACCAGGAGGTTGGCTTCATCCCACCTGGTTGCCGCGCACAGAGGCCCTCAACCACTGGCGCGTCAACCTGCTCTCGGCACTGAAGAACAGGAGTACGTACGAGCTAAGTTCATCGGACTCAGAGTTTAGGGTTTATGCTTAGTTTCAGTTCCATCTGAGCAATAAGCCGCTTCAAAGTAAATTAGGAGGGGCTTCTTGTGTCCGCAAAGTGGGTAGCTGCCATGTGCAGATGTTTGCGCAAATGTGTAGGCACGAAGCCTGTGGCTTGCCCCGAACTTGGTGCCGACATGGTATGAATCATCGAATTGCTTTTGTGGTGCTTTGTTGCAGAATCCGGTTTACTCCCCGCGGAATACCCTCTGTCGCGTTTGCTCTGCAAGTCGGCGACTGATACTGTGAAGTATCTAATGGGACGGCTGGGCCCTGATGTGAAGGACTGGCATTGGGGGAAACTTCGCAGTCGCTATATCGACCATCTTTTCGTCAGAGATGCGCCCGCCCTTAGACACCTGTTAAGTGTTGGGCCACTAAAGTGGGGAGGAAACTTCGGCACGCTCAAAGCTCATCACTTCGAACCGCACAGTACGATGATGATCACAGAAATAGATTTGCAGGCGTGAGCAATTTGCTTTTAAGGGTGGGAATCTCATTACTCGGGCGTAAGTTTGGCTGTGGACGTTGCAGTTCTTAAGGCCGATGATCCACTGACTGGAAACTTCCATCGAGGAATCGACACAACTTCTCTCAGAGTAGTGAGGCTTTGATTAGTTGATGGCTTGAGTTTCGGGTTTTTCTCAAGTTTCAGGGTCCGTGAGCGCATATTTTGCCTCTGCTATTTTAGTCTTCTTAATTCACCCATGTGTTGAGATAATTATCGGGAGCCACGACTATTTTAGATGATCGTTTAATAGACTAGGCACTCCAGGGTTGAGAAGTGCTTAAATCACATGATTACTTCCTTCAGGTGTTCGACTTGAGCAACTGGGAGAATTCTCTCTGGGCCTACTACCCAGGTGTCTCGGGCTGGCCCGGCAGCAAACACTATGGAGATACAGCTGAACTGCTTGAGGATGGGAAAGGTACATTGGCAAAAGTACTTACAATAACTTGCATAGGTCCAGGTATTGGCTTCTGTGGGTGTTTTCTATGTGGACCACGTTCATTTCAGTTCTGTTAGCCTTCTTTTGTTCCGATGTACTGGCATTGTTTTTGTCGCCATGCGCCCCCGGTCTTCTTTCCAGTCTAGGCCTGCCTTTTGCGTGTCTACGTACGGTGTCTCACAGAAAAGCTGATGCCGATTCCGTGGGATGAAGAGAAGATTGAAGCGTCGCTTATAGCTACGAAGATTCTAAGCCCCAAGCAAGAGCGGCAGCAGGCACCACAGCGGAGCCAGCAGCCTCCGCGGCAGCAGCAGCAGAAGCAAGAGTTTTAAAGACGCCATTATATATTTTGGTGGACACTGCAGAAGAGTCCATCTGTCGCATAGGGGGAGCCTTCGCTTCTGATGCACCTGCTGTGTGAGAAGCAGCAAAACGCGCGAAGTGTAGACGGCTGCAAACACAGAAGGTAAATCAACAGTGACTGCGCTCGTCTGTTAGCAGGAACGAGAGGTATCACAGCGGTAGCAGCAAGGGCATACGCTCCATAACAAATTTGGCCAACTGGTCACTCGAACACATTTGGAACAGTGCCGCTCGTGTAGGTTAAATAGATTTATGTACGCACCGGAAAACAACATATCGCATTTCTGCTTGAACCAAACTCATCTGTCGCTGCTCGGGCCCCTGCAGCACCAGCGGAGTGTAGCTGGTGTGCAAACTGACTGCCTGGCAGCGCCAAGAAGCGAGGCGGCAGAGAAGAGGCAAAGTGAAAGGACCAAACTGCAGCAGCTGCACCATCAGGCAGAACACAATAAAACCTGCGTTGATATTGCTTTGCCCTGATATTTCTTTTACCCAGCGCAGTTTTTTTAGATGCAGCCGTCCTGCAGCCAGAGTTTTCTTTTTGCGGTTTCAGCGTTTGCTTCCCGGATAGTGAGTGGTGTGTTTGATCAGATGTCATCAAACACACAGCAATCAAAGCCGCCCCGATTCATGAGGGTGCAGTGAGCGGGTATACGGTGCCGTTTCATTGTTCGGCTTACCCCTGATAGTTCAATGCTTCTTTCTAAGAATTAGGCTTACGCTGAGGAAGACAGTTGTGACTCATTAGAAGGCCAGAGGCGCGCTTCACAGTTTTGGGGTCAGCCTTTTAGTTCGTTGCGCGTGTAAATACGTGAGGATGCATAGATGAGTGGAGGGCGTGAATAGGTTTCACTGAAGATTCTATGAAGGCAGAGTGGCACTGAGCAAAGTGTCGCGTTATTCCTGTTGCGCATTGCGACGTATCAACCCTATTTGTCGTGATGTTGCTTCCTTGTACGGCGTCGGGGCTTTTGGTAAGGCCTGTCATGTGTGTATGTGGGATCTGCCGAATGAAATTTTCAGGGATTTACGTGTTCTGATGAAGTTAATCGCTTCTTAGCTTTCCCTGCCTAATTTCCAGAGGAGAGGCTCTTCGTTGCAGAAGGGAGCTGCTTCAGGCTAGGCAAAGCTATGGTACTTGCTGCTTATTCTCCGTTTTATCTCAAGAAAGATGATATTCTCTCACCTTATTTGCGCTGCACTGTTACTATATTCTTCATAGTAGTGGCTAGGAATTAAAGTTAGCCTTACCGTAGCTCCTGTAGAGCGTTGAGGCAGTCTACGAACGCTACTATATTTGGATGCAGGGTCTGATTCCATGGTGTCGTATTCTAAGGAATTTTTCATTTGCAAAGGTACTTAGTGGGTGGACTCACATGAAGCTCGTCACCAGGAACAACAACCTGCGGTGGTTGTGACGTTTAGCAGTGGCTAGAGCCTCTTATAGTTATATACCCTATGTGGGTAAAAAGCCCTATCGACACCGTCTTACAGGCATACTATGAAATTAAGAAATACGCCAGTGAAGAGGCCGCGTCAGAGTAGCAAAATGAATCTGATTCATGGGCGAACGACGGCCAGTCAACGCATTAGAGGGGTTGACTCAAGGCACAGTGCCGCATGTCTTCAGAATATCAGTGAGCAACTAGTTCTGACAGCAGAATCGAAACGGCGGCTCTGAAAGTGGTGAGTGTGGAAGGGAGGTAAAACCGTGCTCAGTATCAAACTAAAGGAACACAAATTGCTTAGGAAGGATTATTCGCGTGAGATTGATGCTTGGGATAACGGCAGAGTTCTTGTGCCCCCTTCAGGACATTATCGCACTGAGAGTGTTGCCGTTTTTCCTCCGGCAACCTGCCCAGGCGCATCTAGCACTGGCAGTAGATTTCCACACTTCCCTCATACTCTAGCAGCTCCCAAGCCGAATTTGTGCTGTACCCACTCTCGCTCAAGTGATTCCCTGAAGCACAATTCTCCTTTGCTAGTCCTTATCAAACAGAATTACACATAGGCATCGCCAATATTTTCACTAGTGTTCGCTTGCCTCACGAGGAACATGACCCTGAGAAGCAAGGTCCTACACCAAACTTTTAACCGCCAACGATCGAACCTGAGAGCCATCCGGAGCCATCCGCCCTCAAACATAAGGAGTGAGCACTACGGGTCAAAAATGTTCCCATTTGCACTTACCCGTTGACCAGACTATACACAGTTGGATGAGATTAAGAGTCAGTAAATGGACGCAGTGCGCTGAACCAATGCATTGAACGCAAGTAAGCAGTTGCTGAATGCCATCGCCCATAAATGCACGTAACAAGCCATAAAAACTGCCGTTTCTACATCTCCCTTGAGATGCAAAGGAATAAATTAGGTATAAAATGCAAAAGAAACTAATTTTAAAGTTAAAGTGATTGAATTATCCGGCTGTCTCGCTTGTAGGACGTGTCGGCGTAGCGTCAGGCTCAGAAAAACCTGAAGCCCTATACATTTACCCCTTCTGGTTTGAGCTAGACATGAGCCATGAATTTCGTTGAGCCAAAATGCGTCTTATGCAAAACAACGGTGTTCGGAGGGCCGCGTGAATTCCAATAGTTGCACTAGCGGCGTGGCTCCTTACAGCAGTCTGTAAACAAATTAACGCGAGGGGGCCCCACCAGAGGAACCTCTCCACTAGCCGGTGACGCTACCGCTGCAAAGTGAATTTTGCGAGGTACGCATTGTTGTTGGAGAAAGCTTTTAGCTCGATGGTCTCCATCAATTCTTCAGGGATGCGTTCATTAGGTCACTTTGTTTGCGTAATCAATGGTAGACAGGGCCAGTGACCGCTACGGCCGCATCCATTCTCAGCGCGTCGACGAAATATCGCTGTGCCTGTTAGGTTTTTTACTCCTGATACTTTGTGCTACAACCACTGTAGCGGCCACCCTCGCCAAGTTCAGGCTCACACGCCCGTCGGACTGCTGTAATACTTTCCTATACTATATATTTTTGCCGCCGCCCGTCTGCGCTGAGCACGGTGGTTTAGAAGGCGAATCAAAGACCAGCAGAGCGCGCAGGGGCCTACATTTCCCCGGCACGGCTGTGGTGGAGTTTTGGAGGCTCCAAGCCGCTGCTAGGCGCGTCGTGCTTCGACAAAACCACACCTGCAACAATACAGGACCGGGGAGGGGATCAGGCTGCATCTGTGCCTGAACTAGCACTGAGTGCGGCAAAATTCTTCCAGCGAGAGGCTTCGAGCGGCGATGGAGTAGTGCTTTCATATATACACTGGCTCCAACACCGACGACATTCATGCGGCATGCATTCTCCGGAGTGACGTGACTGCGGCATTAGTGTTTGTGCGTGGCTTTATCGACTAGCCGAACGATTCCATACCTTAGCGCAGACCAAGTGGCAGCCAGGCAAGGTTCGGGTGTGCGTCCAGCGTGTTCCCGTTAGGTCCGCTGCCCTTCTCTGTGCTTTTTGGCTTATTGCTCCTCCTCGGGCGGAATGTCCGTGCGGTATGACTTGAGAGGTGACGCATCAAGAGAGCCTTTGCGCGGTGGATGCAGTGTACAGGTAGCTGGGAGTAACGCTGTAGACACATCGGGAGAGCACTTGCCTCGCGGCAACACCAACGCTTCCCCTTCTGAGTCCCTGCGCTACCATGGGGTTTCTCGGGGCAGTCGCTCTTGTTTGGAGCAGTTTCTGCACTTGGCACCAGTGCGTTGCATTGAGACAGTAGCTCGGTTTCTCGACGTGGCTTCTTTCGTGGGCCTTCTGACCCTCAACTCTTCCCTACTGCGTCTTTGTGACTCCCCTGCACTGCTTCCCTGCTGGACACACTTTGCCCTCGTGCAGCGTATTCTTAGGCACGGGGAGAATGTGCTACTGCCTAGATTGTCGCCCAACTCCCTGCCACAGCTCATCAGCAAGGGCGATGGCGGGGTGGCAGGGGGTGAAGCAAAGAAGGGACTGAGAGACGATGAGGGAGAATTAGTGAGCCCTTGCCAGACCTTCAACAGGAGGCTGCCGCGTGTAACGAGGCCGGATTTGATGCGAATAGGAAGCCTCAATTCAAACTGGCGCAGCAAAAGTTTTGAGACGGAGGAGCGGCATGTTATCCCATCTGCAGAGGCTCTTGACAAGGCTTACGTCTTGGCCACACCCCCGCTCGAGTCCTCATTCAGCGACCATTCTGTCGCTCCTGACGCCCCGCTCAGCCTGCAGGCCTGTCCCGCTGTGGGGCTACCGGCGGGATTGCAGCCCCCGGGGGCTCGGACATTTTTGGAGGGGTCACCCTTATTTGCTGTCTTCCCTAGTGGTCGCATCTTTGTGGTTCACGCAGCTACCAGTAGAGGAGGGTCAAAAGGCCGCTGTATGGAGGTCAAACTGCCAGTGTTGCCAGCGAAGATACCTAGAGAGCCTGACCCCCTTATCAAGTTCGGGGGCTTCGCTCCCAAGGGTTGGTTGCTAGGCGACGACGAGTTCACACATACCCAGCCCCTGGCGCCAGCTTCTGCCCCTGGATCACATGCTTCAGGTCCCCGCATTTCGCAGTCGCAACGGAAAAGGCAGCTGCGGCTGCAGAGGCAGCAGCAGTGCCACCGTCTGCATGTGAGCTGGGTTCACATTGCCCCTCACCCTCTCTATCCCTGCCCAGGAGAAAACACCTACGATGAGGGCCTACAAAGAGCGACCCCGCTAGAGGGCTCCTCCTGCGTGCTCCCTGCAGCGCTGCCGCCTCAATACTTCACAAGCGGGTCCCCTTCGCAGCTCCCAAGCGCCAGCCAAACGGAAGCGCGCAATATAGCGACTAAAGGCCTGGGACACTGTCCACAGGTTAGGCTGCTATCTCTTTGCCTCCCTGCGATAGAGGTTGAGGCGTTGCCACCGGCGGGTCCGGCACGACGGAGTTGCAGGCGCACCTTGGAGCATACTCAAGGCGATGATACGCCAGCAGGAACAGCACCATCATCAGTAGCTGGATCTGCAGAGCAGCAAGAGCCAGAAAGGATAGCCACAAAAACTTTCGAGGCCTCCGCTACCGGCTGCAAGGAGCCAGAAGCAGAAAAGACGACGAAAATTGTATCCTGTTTAGCAAGCCCGTCGACTTTTTCTGCTACTGTGCGCAATCGTGCTGTTGACACAGAAAGCCCTGTACGTGAGTCTTTTTCATCATTCCCTGCCGTGCCGTGTGAGCGTCCCGTGGGTTTCTCCGTCCCACAGCGCGTGTGGCCAGTGGCTCTGTGCTCTTACTCTGCCAAGGGGTCACGCTTTCAGACTCACTTTATTGTATGCTGCGCACTACGGGATGAAGAGACGCTGAAGTCTGCACGCTGCCGGTTATGGTATAAGGAAAAGGGACAGAAGTCCAACCGGCGCGGCAGCACTGGTTGTGGTGAGCCGCTCGGAGACATGCAAAACAGGGAAGAGGAGGAGGAGCAGCAGCAAGCTGCTGTGACGCGCGCAGGATCGTCCTCTTGCCAACCTGGGGGCTCTCAGCAGAGACAGCACACAGACTTCGGGGCCCCTAGAAGTAGTGCCCAAGACGCGAAAGCCATCAGCTTCTCGCTCCAAAAGCATCCTCAAGCTACTTTCGTGGGACTGGTAGCTGTAGGCACTTCAGAAGGAAGAATTCTTTGCACTCCTCCACCCCGGTGCCTCATCCGCCGCTGCTACTGCGGCGGGGATTGTCTGAACGGTATCACGGGAGAGGCTTCAAACAGCAGGGACGGCGGTAGCCCCTGTGTCGTCCAAGGTGCGCAGGCAACTACAAAGGACGCAGCGGACATAGGTGCTATGAACAGCTTCGCTTTGCCGCAGCCACAGAAACCGGAAACACATGCAGAAAGTGGTCTACACATTAGCAGCTACAGCGTTACTAGTAGTGTTAACGGTTGCATATCCTGCCCAACAGTAACTGCAGCGCGAGCAGGTCGAGGAGTGCCGTTTGTTGATGTGGGTAGTTTTGGAGATGGGGGTGGCGCGGTGGACTATGTTGAGCTAGTTAGGGGAACCCCCTGGGCTCCGCGTGCAGAACTGACTGATCAGCCCCAGCTCCTAGTCCCTACACAGCAGAGGGACTTCTCATGGCACTGGACGAGACCTCCCACTTCCTCATCGGAGGAGCGGGAAAACGGGAGCCAGGGATCCTCAGGTCCGCCTGGCGACACAGCTGCAGGCGGCGCTACGTGCGGAGGCGTGGAAGCTGAAGCATTATGGCTGTTTGCATGCAGCAATGCAACAGGGATTAAGATATTTAGATTTGTGTGGAGTATGCAGCATGGTGGGGCGGGAGACGCCAGCCCCGGTAGGGAAGTTTTGGCCCAATCGGGAGCCCCAATAGCGAGAAACTCCTGCAGAGGGCTGCAGGAGCTCATGGGGGAGTGGAAGTGCGTATTGACCATTCGTGGGCATTGCCAGATCATGTCGCTAGACCTAAACAGTGGCATTCTCGCTGTTTGCACCCCGAGGGACTCGAGGGTTTGTTTTATTTGTTTCAAGGTAAAACTACTTACCTGAGTATTTCTTTCCCTATTTCTCGAGCTGTCTCATCTTCAACACTGCGGTTTCTGGATATTTTATCGCCTCAAGTGAACAGTTATTACCAACCCTATTAAAGTGGTGGCACTGTTTCGCAGACTGACTGAAGCATGCGTACATTTGTGAGCATGTGTTCTATTTGTTCCGTTGTATATTTCAGCACGCCAATGTGCAAAATTATTTATAAAAGATAGTGGGATCATGAAGGTTGTGAGTACTGTATTTGTCATCATGCGTGCGTATTACCTGGCCATTACTAGCTCGTAACTGCTTACTACGCGTCGGTTGTTTTGTTTTGTGCTGTTGCAGCACCTATTGCCTGCCCACATATACGTTGCACCCACGAAGGACAGCCCTGTGGTGTCTGCGGAGGACCTGGCGAAGTTCGGTCGCTTTGGCCTTCCGCGGCCTCAATACGTGCCTTTAGGAGGCTATCTGCCGGTGCAGCAGCGCCAGTTTGCGGCGTCGTTGCAATCGCCCCGAGAGTGCTCACGCCTGGAGCTGCTGGTGGCAAGAAGGCCCTCCTTCCTCCAGCCCCTGGGAGGCCGTCGATGGGTGGTCGTTGACGGATCAGTCATTAGGGTTGTGCAAATTAAAGTCAAAGACCTCACCATACAGCGGAGAACCAGTAGCGCTGCGCATCTGGAGCAGCTCCATGCAACGCTTATGGGCTCTTCGTTGGATCAGCTGCGGCAGCTGCGCCGTCCTGCCATCGAGGAATCAAAGCTCCCGTGGCTGCTGCTTGCCCATCCTGCGCCGGACCTGCAGACAATGCGACTTTGCGTCTTCTCTCACCCGCGCACAATATACCAATGTGCGTTTGACGGCATTCGGCGGCTGGTAACGGTGGACCTACAGGAGGTGCTGATGGTGTGGGACCTGCAGCGGTACACGAAACTGTTCGGAGTTGATCTGATGGCCAGCGGCTCCAGACACAGCGGAACCCTTTCAGACAGCCAGGAAGATGACGAATACACAGTCAACGGGGAGCACATGGGACTCGCCAACGACGAAGTGGGCAGCGATCAAGAGCATGGAGCAATTGGGCGAAGCAACTCAAGAAGAGGAGACCACGGGGCACCCAGCAACGGTGATGTGGGGCCCTGCAGCGCCAGAGTAGCGCGGAAGGCCAGTAAGCTAAGCCTGAAAAAGCAGTTCGGGAGCGGGTGGATGCAGAAGCAGGTCCTGGCTCACTGCAAAACCAAAGTAGAGCTACCGCATGCGCCCTCTCTTGGCTCTTCACGGCAGTGCACTACCAATATGGAGGCTTGTCGCGGCCGCGCTAGCCGTCAGCTGGGAGAGAGAGTTGTCGTAGGAGGTGTCTGGTTTAATGCAACCACCCTTGAGCCAGCCGTGCAGTTGCAGTTACTCTATGACACACAGAAGGAAGTAGCTGGAAGCTCAAGGATTGCCGAAGGTAGCTTAGAGACCATTACAACTTCGCAGCAGCAACAACAGCGGCAGACTGCTGTTGACGGCAGCGGAAGCTTACTGCAGGCCGCAGAATTCAAACCTGTAGTGGATAGCAGCAACTGGGGGACCACCTCAGGGCTTAATGCAGACACAATGAACCCTTCCTGTGATATGAGTAAAGGGCGGCAGGGACAGTCTATGGGGTTGCCTGCTGTGGATGAGGAGCAGCCGCTTGATCCGGAACTGTCGGCAGCTGTGGCTGTCTGCTATGCAGACGACTTTCCGCCTCTCAGCACCCCCTTCCCCCCGAAGACGGATAAGGCCTTTGCGAAGAGAGACCGCGCCTCCCCTAATGCACAGGGGACGACAACCTGTTCGAGCTCTTCGCCGGCAGCTGCTCCTCAGTCAGTTTGTTCATCACCTGCCCCTGCAGAGTACAGCGAAGTGCAGGTTATTTCTGCTCATGGGAATCGAGGGGACCACTTGGCATCACTAGGCCACTGCGAGGAATCTCGCGGCAAAGCGTCTCCGCCTAAAGTACTGCTGTCGCAGGTTCCAGCAGATCTCGAAACAAGAAGGAGTACAAGTGCAGCTGCTGATGGTATAAAACCCAGCTTTGCAGCTGTGGTTGCTGCCGGCAACTCTTCGTCTGAGGCTACCTGCCAGCGCACAGGCTGGGCCTCGGGACCCACAGATCTTTCCTTCCTCATTAGCTTGGTTGGCGAGGAAGGAGCGCGGGCTCTGCATGACTCTGCTGCGGCAATTGGTATGACTGCAGAGGAGCTCTACGTACAGCAGATGGAACAATGGGAGCAATTGCAACAGAGAAGCAGCAGGAATGCGCATGCAGAAGCCTCCAGTAGCGTCGAACCCACGAATTTGGTGGTTGAGGGACAGAATACTGAGGACAGCTATGTCGGCGACACGCTACCTGGAGCTTATCCAGCGACGGTTTCTTCCCCACACTTGTGTGATGGCACAGCACACCAGAGGGAACAGCAGTCGCCTGCAGCGCTCCCCTCAGCACCCTGTCCCGTCTCTGATGTCGAGTCTTCAAAGGCATCCAAGGTGTCGGGCTCGCCAGCTGTCGCTGCTTTGGTGGGTTCGCCGCAGGGTTGGTCTTTGGATAGATTTGAGCAGTCGCTAAGTCCATCGCCTTGCTCACATCCGCTGGCAGGGCAAACGGTTCACGGCTTAGGGCCTCACTCTGAGAGTCGAATGGTAGGGCTTCTCGGCAGACAGCGTTGCATTGCTCGCTTGGGTCCCAACGCCCAGCGACGACATGTGACGGCAGTGTGCGTCAGCGAGACCTGTTTGGCTCTATTGTTCAAGAACTTGAAGACTTGGCAGATATGGACGTTCGGTCCCACGGGCTCTCTGGCTCAACCGGCAGCTGAGACAGCTACAGGGTCGACACTGTAGCTGAAGCAAAGACCATTTGCGCGTGTGACTCATCGTCAAGCTAAACTTTTTGGAGATAAACGCTTCATGAACAGATACCAGGGTTCCGGTGGAAGCCGGAGCCTGCCTTCTATTGGCTCCACTTGATGTTGTTGTCGGGCGCGGACTTGATGATTTCAGGTTTGCCTGCCTGTGTATTTCCATCTCGTTGCCGTTTGCCTTCCCTCTATAGGTGCTGCGTTTGAATGACTTGCACGGGCAGTGCGCTACGCTCTACACAAGCTACGAGCGCTTCAGTAGCAGCAAAACAGATGCCAGTTGTATTATCTACGTACCTGCGGGCATGGCATGGATGGGCTATCTTCGCCGAGTGTTCAGGCAAATCCGCCACGTAGGTTTTTTGTAGCATCATAGTATGCTGCCAAATGCGTGGATCAAGTCGAAAGAAGCTTCACACTGCGTGAAGCCATTCGGTTGTGTGTTAACACTCCGTCGACTGTTGTTTACCTTCGACAATTTTTTAACTTGTTACATTTGTGTTCGTGTAGAAAGTGCTCATATGGTGACTCCTCTAAGTTTAGTCGTCTCAGTCATACATTTACTTTGGCATAAAGGGAGCCATCACCATTGATTTGACAGAAACTGTTGACTTACAACAATCGTGTCGGGCTTCTTCGGCTTTTTGTTGAACTGTGTCCTCCTGGTTGAACTGGAGGCACCCTTCACGCTTCCACGTTTCTTCTAAGCGCCACAGGACACTGCCAACTTGTCTTCATCGTTAGCTTTTCAAAGTTTCCCGTGGCGTCATCTAGAGATTCCTTTGAAGCGAAACAATCTTGCGGCAAACGTATCAGTTGACAAGAGGTGGGGGTGGCGAGGGGGGACGCGTGTACTTCTGGGCCGGCTAGTAAACTCTACGGATCTTTGCTAAGAGAACCAAGGGTAAGTGCATGGGGCAAATGCGCAGCACTACAATGCTGCGCAGAAATAACATTGGAAGGTCGTAGTATTTAGCGTTATATGAGTATAGCGTGGTTAGAAGCATGGATCATGTGGCAGACCAAGCTTACAGTACGCTTCAGCTGGGCCACGGCCCAGGGTTGGCAGGGACGCAATAGGTGCAGCCAGCAGTGGCGCACACGGAGAGGGGAAGGTCTCCTTGGAGGAACGAGGAGGAACAACAACGTTTTTCATTACGGCCTTATTCAGTTTTTTGTCGTATAGATGAAAGCGTGCACCCACGGGAACAGCTGGGAGTACTGTATATGGGCCTAGCCCACTACATTCGGGTCCTCTTCTCGGAAAGCTGTAGTTCCGCACATACTAACGTGAAGAAATTAACTCCACGGAGCCCTCGGGTCTTTGGTTCCACACGCATCAAACCTCATTAGTTATGCACCTACCGAACGGACGAGCAATAAATGGACGGAGAGCACTGGAGTATTCAGCGCACGAGAATTCAGTCAGGGGGCAGACGGCGGCTCCTGCACAGTAACCGTCTAGCCGAAGAGGCCAGCAGCAAACAGGGGGGTCTTGGGGAGAGAAATGGGGCCCTGCTGCAGTTGATTGTATTTAAAAGGAAACGAGGAAACAGGAATCCGGAGTGGGGACCAGCATGGAAAGAAACAGCTGCTGCTGGGTCAAAGGGGCAGCGCTGCCGCCGGTACTGCTGCTGTTACTTCTGCTACTGCTGCTACAGCTAATGTGGTATATCCGTTGAGTAGTCACCTAAGCTATAGGAGGTCTCACGAGTGCCTTCAACAATATGGGGTGAAGGCAGTCCGGCTGCTGCTGCTGCTCAAACTGCTGCTGCTGCTGCTGTTTCGCCTCAATCTCCGGACTAAGGCTTGAGCATACCTTATATATTTCCCCTCAAAAGCCAGGCAGTAATGCCGGCATAGCGCATAAGCAAAATTAAGGGAATCTCCTGCGTCGAGCCGGAGGCGGCGAATCTACGGGAGATCGTGCTGCAAATGAATTTGAAAAGATAGGCATCCACGGTCTTGCAGGCAACCATACATGAAAAGGAAGGTCACGTGCGGACCCAAGAGAGAGAGGGAAAAAGAATTGTCACTGGACCGCCGGGGACGCGAGCTAGAGCGGCATATATAAGGCTATTTGCTGATTCCTTGGGTCTTTCTGAGGGAAACTCGAGCGGAACTGAGATGAGCAGCGGCATCGAGAAGGGGATGAGTTCTTGTTGGGGGCTTAGTCTGATTCACTGCATGGCATCATAGCCCTCCGTTAACTATGGTGCGCGGAGTTGGAGTCGTTTCGCGCATGAGCCTCCTCATGCGCGTTCCGAGACCCATGCGCGCAGCGGCTCTCAACTACAACACGTTACCACTTAAGGTCATCACTTATTATGCCTCTTACTAAAGTGGAACTAAGTTGCACCTCTGATATCTCTGATATGACATAAAACATCTCAATTCCTCTCATCAACATCTATCAGTGACACCCAGAGTCCTTTTCTCTGTTACGTGGCTTCCACCGGGGTCACCACTGATTCCCCTCAAGATTTACATTAAAACGACTAGAGGTCTGAATTTTCACTTCACTTGTGGTGGCACACTTTGTGGAAAGCTCGTCACTAGGCAGCGAGCTTTCATATGCGATACTCAAAGCCTGCAATGCCGCGTTGTGACGATCGCAAATTCATGCGGATGCTCCATAGTTGTGCTGCGCATTTTTTTCTTCTAGCAAAAAATCATCCCTCCTCGTAAAATGTATAATCATTAGGAGCCAGTGGTTTGCAACAACAGGGATAATGACGAATGCTGCGGCGCCACCGACCGACTTCGCATGCTTCCATTGGGATCGTCCCAAACAAAACTTGGTGAGCACCAAAGTCCGCAGTTTTAGTCTCCAGTTGGAGTACACGAAGTACCGTGTAGGACAACACCTTTCATAGGACACAAGAAATAAGACCCATTATGCTGCTTGCAACTGTCAGCAGCCCTATGGATGCCCTGCGGACACTAGGCTTGTGACTCTCCATCTAAAAGTTAAATGAGCATCCACAAGCCAGTAAGTCAGGAACAACATGCGCAGACAGAAAGGCGGTGTGGGAGTGAAGGCACATTTCTTCTCTCTCGGAATAAGCCACATGAAAAGCCGCGCGCACACCCTGGTATGCTACGCTACTCAAGCACACAATTACCAGGTTCCCGAATTGAAACCTGAGATAAAGCACCTATTATAAATTCGAGAATGCCGCAAACTCATAATCCACGAAATCCACGCAGCAAGCAATAACCCAAGTGTAATCAACTAGTCGTCTTCCTCTGGTAACGCCAGCAACCTCACATAAGCTGCCACACCCCCCTCTCTTGCCCTGCGTTTGCTGCGACCCACATGAAATTTTTCACTGGCGTTCTTATCGCTTGGCATAGACTTCATGTCGTTGCTCTCGCCGATTGCTTCTAGAGCCTTATCCTCCGCTGCTTCATCTCCTGGCACTGAAGAGATTGCAATGTCAGCAGTATCTGATGGCACTGCAATCCTGCTTTTTCTCTTCTTCTGGCGTGTGTGGCCGTTTTCTTCATTAGCAGTGCAAACGGCGGACCTGTCTAAACAACCGCAACACTTGTATCCCCACTTGTCCTCTTGCTTAGAATAGAATGAGCCAAAAACGGAAGTATGGCCAAGCGTCAGAATATCCTCATCATATAATGTACTCTTTGCCGGCTGCTTCAGCCGCTGCTGAGCCTCTTGTTGCTTGCGATGAAGAGCCTGCAGCCGCGCTGCCTCTCTTGCCTTTTGTCGTAGCTCCTCTGCCGGCGATACTGCTTCCTCCTTCTTCTGCAGCTGCTGCGCAGCTTTGGCCTCGCCTCTCAAGGCCCGTCGCAGCTCTTCAATTTTAACTTCCTCGCGGCGACGTTCTTCAAGCTCTCTTTCTTTCTTCTGTTCCTCTTTGAGCTTCTGCTCAGCCAGCCATACCTGAAACCGGAAGTCAGCAAGACCAGCCAAACTCTAAGCCTAAGTGTAAAAACGCAAATCTCAGCGAGTAAGCCTACTCAGTTTTATAAGGCTGGAGACGCCTCGATGCACAAGCAAGGCCTCAAACGCACCTTCTCCTGGTTTTGGTAGTTCCCCGGGTGGAATGGCTTGTGGTTGATGAAGGCCGCAGATTTCTTCCCGATATTACCAATCCACATTCTCTAAATGGCCATAAGAATATACTCAGATGGTAGCATGAATGCTCCTTGTTTGCAGTACACGGCGCGCACCCGCCTTCCAGTCGTGCGAGGGCCTGATGTGCCCTGTCCTTATTCCGCCACGAGACCTTGAACCTCAACCGGATTCATTCTCAGATAGTTCGTATTAGTGCTACGCTGCTGTTGGTGCAAGGAGCAGAAGAGCACTCTTGGTGACACCTTGTTGACACATTGATGACGTGATGCGCCAAGATCGCGTTGGTTGCTACGATGTACTACCAGTTCAGTAAAAGCAAAGCTAACATAACGCAAAAAGGACAAAATTGTTCCATATCGCTCCCATTTGTTTGTATTGAGTGCGTAGGGCCACTGTGGCGCAGGAAACAGTTGCTGGGGCTGCGAGGAATTGCATGCTCAGCGCAACAAAAGAAGATGTTCATCGTGGATCTATTTGTTTTGGAAATCCCCCATCCGCCACATGTCGTTTTTTGCAATTTTCATGGCTCTTGGTTAAGGAATGAACGCCCGCTTTGCAATTAAGGTGGTGGTGCATCGTTGCAACAGTAAAACCGGACGCTCTTTATCTTCGGCACACTTGCATGCGTCCAATGAAATGCTTCGAATGCCCGCTCATTCCAACAGCATTGTCAACAAGTATGGAGATTTATCGGTACTCATGTGACGCTACGGGTAGATTTTTTGGTACTTGAGGCCAGGCCCCGCTGGATACTACGCAGGAGTTAATCCTGCGCAGTATGGTGTCGCTGCCTCGAGTGGAACCGCAAATTTTTGGGAGGTGAATAATACACACGCACAGAACTAGCGTAAAAGCCAGCATTTATGTTGGATGGCTGGAAGTGT